AAGGTAGGTTGCAACAAGTCATCTCTTTAATAGGCACATGATTTTATCAAAATTAATTTCGAGGCGTATTTCACGGTCAGTGTGAACCGACCGCCCAAGATTAATTTAAATAGACCATGGTTAAAACCAATTCGAGTAATTGCAATGCATTTATTTTTCTCTGTACGCTTTATTGTCTAGATCAACATCTTATTCGTAGGCATTGATGCCTCCAGAGCCGCTATTGTCTAAGTGACCCTTTACGAAACATAAAGGAGGTACCACCCTTTTCAGGTCTTGGCTCGATACGTAACACACGAAGACCAAAGACTCAGTTATGTCCGTACATTGTAACAGTTCGATGATAAGACATGGTTGCAACAGAGAAGCCAATCAAGCTAAGGGTTTTCAATTGCAGCAACCTACCTGTTGCAAGCTACTGTCTGAAATGAAATGTTTTGATCGCTGAAAAACACGATTTAAACAAATTATGTAGTTAACAATAACTCTATATTTACCGCCCTCCGTTGAAGTGAAGGGAACTTACCCATGACCAGATTTTAACCGGTCAGTGCACTATCCCGTTGTTGCTAGTTCTTACATACCCAGTTAAATGGGGTACACCACCTTCGTATTTGGTAATTTGCACTGAATTGCTACTCGTCTCTTTCCGATAGTTAGCGCAATTTTTTGTTCATCACTAATAACGCATGAGGAGTTAGTACTCTGATATGCTGCCGCATAAACATCGAATATATTTAAATATATAAATATGAAAAAAGTGTCATAGCGAATCAAGGTAGTCTATAAGCAATGATGAAATAGATTGATAGGCAGTCAGACAGACAGACAGATACACAGATTGACCAGCATAGCATCACAAGCTCCGTGATAAAAGAATATTTGATTATGAATTTTTCTTTCTCTTCTCTGTCAGCACTTTTCGCTGTGTCTCTCGTCCTGCGTAATGTCTGATGCAGTGTCAATTGAATCATTATGCCAAGTACAATTTGTGATGAATGCGACTTAGAAA